GACACCTTCGGATGGGTAGGAAGACGAAGTACTGCGGACGGGAAAGATTCGGTCGAAGAAAGATTCCGCGTCAAGGGACCTTCTGATCTCCGTTCCGTCTTTGTTAGGCATCACCTTGAGTTCCGGTGCATCGGAAGGGCTTTCGAAAGAGAACATTCGGTGACGGAAAGTGGACGCATTGTTTTCTTCAGAGGTCTGCTTGAAGTCATGGCTGGGAACCAGACCATCACCGACAATTAGGCGAGATGGTGTCGGTCCTTGTTGTGTGTCTTCGTTGTGTACCGGAGTATGGCCTTGCTTCCCGGCCTTTACAGGCGTGTTGGGAGCATCGGTCAATGGTATGTTTTCGAACTCCCCAAAGGACTCGTCCAGGTCGACATGCCCGGGCTGCTGCCAATTGATGTCCTTCTCCTAGAGGCCAGCAAACGTATTGGGGATGTTCAAGCGTCGGCGGCCGGGTGAACCGAGGACACGCTCGGAAGCGTTGAGCCTGTTGTTGGATGGGGGTTCGAGGCATGCTGTATCGCCGCTCGGAGTTCGGGTGGGGAGGCTTAAAGCTGACATAGTGATAGCTAACAGAGTTGACTTGACAGTGAATATGGTTGAGACTGTATATATGTCTGGACGACGGTAATGCTGATGAACCCCCAATCTGGATGCATTCAGAAGTTCGACTTGGCTGTCAAAGTCACCGTGGGACTTTTTTTCCGCCACCAAGATCACTGCTTGCCAACGCGATTGAATAAATCCAACCACTTGCACTAAAAAGTCAACAAGTTGGATGGAAGGGGCTTCCAGCCGCAGCCGCTTGCCAAGGAAGGAAGCATCCATCAGGCCACACTCTCCTAATGTCCGAAAATTCGAGTACAGGAAATGATACAATGCTGGGCCGAGACAGTATTGTAGGGGATATCAGAACGACACATCGATAGTTATGAAAAGAGACTAGCCACCCCTTACGGCGCAGCCATCCTCATCTTCACCATCGCCAACTCTGCGCTCTTTGCCCACGACCCATCCGGCGTCTGTCGATAGCACATCAACTTACCCTCATCACCCACGCTGCCCAAAATCTGCCCGTCATCATCGAACCCCACCCTCCACACCGGCGTCCGATGACTATCAAGCCTCGCAACTTCCGTGACCACATGTCTAACCTGGCCCGGCTGCTGCTGCCCACCCAGCCTCAACCTATCCCCCGCGGTCCCACTCAACCTCGACTGATCCGCCAACCCAGCCCTAATTCCTGACTTCAAATGGGTATCCTGCCCACCGCCATGCTGCGCCGCTGTGCCCGCCAAAGCTCTAGCCGCAGCAGTCCCACCACCACCGCCTTCTTCTCGCCTCCCCTCCTGATGCTTCCTCATCTCCCCCACTCCCCATCCCCTGGTTCCTTCCATCCCTTGTGCTTGCATCTGCAGCACCGGCGTCGACAGTCCAAAGACCCTCACATACCCATCCTGACACGCCGTCGCCACGATATCATACCCCCTGATATTCCCCGGCGCCCACGCCACATCTCTCACCAGCCCTCTATGCCCCGCAACTGGATCCTTCGGACTGATCTCCGCAGCGAGATAAAACTCTTTCGCAGCCGTGGCCACGCCCAAGCTGGCGCTGACCGTGTCTCTAGTCCTATACACCTTCACCGAATCCATAGCCGCCACCACCAGTCCCAGCGCATCCGTGGGCACGCCCGCCCGCAAAGCGGTGTAACACACATCCTGGTTGGGGTCAAAGCGCACCCGGAAGGAGGTCTCCTCACCGCGAGAGGGTTTTGGGCAAACGGTGAATTGGTCGATGCGGGAGAACTCGGTGATGTTCTCTGGTGTTTCGTTTTCCAGCACTTCGAGCGTGCCGTCCACGGATAAAAGGGCGAGGTAGGTGTGTCGCGTGTCGTCGTTGTGCTTGAGGCTGAAGGAGCGGATGGGCGATTTGGGGTTGCGGTAGTCGAAGGCCGGCGTGGGTTTACTGTCGCCTGAGGAAAGAGAGGAGAGGCCACCGCCGACGTCGCGACGAGACGAAAGGGTGTTGGCGCCACCATGGTGCCCGCCGTGCCCGGTGAGGTTGACGCCAAAGCGACGACCTGGGGCGGCGGAGGGGTTTTCGGCCCAGAGCTTGAAGCGACCTTCGATGCCGAGGGAGGCAAGGAGGTTCGGGTAGATGGTTGGGGGGAGCCATTGGAGCTGTGGGATAGAGGTTAGTTTGAGTCTGTCGCCACAAAGTATATGAACGACTTGCCTCTAGAATCTCACCGCCGTGGGCACTCCAGCTATCGCAAACGCGCCACTTGCCATCTTTGTGTCTGTTGAAGACGCGAATCTTGCCGTCGACGGATCCGGTCGCGCAACGGTCGCCGTAGCTGTTGAATGCAACGGCCTGGACCAGATCCTGATGGCCATGGTTCACAATGGAGTCTATGGTTGACTTGCCGTCAATGGCGGGCGGATCGCCTAGGTATTGACTAAATTTGGACATGATTGTGGTTGGGTCTTATGAGCTTCACAATCTGATGATGATGTGCCGGTGATGAGCGAAGAAGGTCGCATGGAGGGATGAAGTGAGGTTGAAGAGCCAAGCAGCCAAGACGCTCGTGACAACCGTGGTTGGTGGGGGGTGAAGTACCGCTGAGCCGCCTGATGCTTGCTGTGACTTTCAGTGGACTTTGACCCCTGGCCCAAGCAACCTACCTGCAGGCTCGGAACTGGGACCGAGATCCACCGGGACATCCCGTCCAATGCCCCGCTGCCCTGTCCGGCCCGGCCCAAGCAAGTGTATGCTTATTGATCCTAAATGGGATGGTGTAGATAGGTCTCAAAGTCTTGGAACCTCTTGTTTGTGATATCAATACCCCAAGATCGTGAGAGACTGGACGTATATGTGCGTCTATATTCTAAATATTGGGAGACATTTATACAAAGGAAGATGTCTCAGTCTACGCAGTCTAAGCCCATAACCAAGAAGCTCTACCCTCTTTTCAAACCCCCAAGTTGTCCTGCTTAAACAAAATCAACGCCAACCGATGCCTCACGAACAAACCAAACAGTCCCACTACTATCTGCATCCCCGTGATCTCCATTGCCAACCGGTCCTCCCGCAACGGGCCTCTCCAGACCAGCCACAAGTTCAAAATCGTAAAGTTACTCGTCTCCACGAACCTCCCCTCCTCATCCAGCGTCACCCTCAACAGTTTCACCTTGTCAAGCGTCTTCAGCGCCCACGCCACCGGCGGCTTCGGCTGTCTCTCTGGCGTCCAGGGCGTCACGCTCGGCTCCAACAGTCCCGTGCGCGCGTTAAACCGCGGTAGACGGTGACGTGGGCAGGGCACAAGACCAAAGAGTTGCGGCACGGAATAAACAAAGTTGAAGATCTGCGGAATCAGAAGTAAAATCAACGTCTTGCTGAAGTGTCCCAAGATGCTGACCACCACGAAAACCATGCCCGCAAAATAGCAGTACGTGTCGCCAACAAAGACCCGGGCGGGGTACCAGTTGTGCCAGAGCAGAGCAAAAGACACACCAAGGAAGGGGAGGAGGAAATAAAGCGAGAACAAGTGGGAGTCCGTAGCCGGGTGTGGGTACGGCGTCAAAAGGTAAAGGCAATCGTTGAAGGCGAGCAACAGAGCGATGACGATGGATTGGGTGACTTCGATGCCGTTGATTCCTGCCAGGATGTTGATGCTGTTGGGACTGAAAATGGCAACCGAGGCCATGTAGACGTAGTATAAGGCGCCGAGGTTGAAGAGCTCGCCTAGGTAAGGTTGTAAGGGGGTCGGGATCACGACAGAGGTGACGCCAAAGTCGACAAAGTAGACAACCAAGAGAGGGATGGAAGCGAAGGCGGGGATGAAGAATTTGTGGCGCCAGCGGATGTCGAAGAGGTCGTCGCCGATGCCGAGGAGGGAGATGGATTGGAGGGCCATGACGGCAGAGAGGTAGGAGGCGAGCTGTTGGTGTCGCAAAGTGTTAGCATCTGTTTTTGTGTGTTTTCGTCTCTAAAGGAGAGGGCAACGGATTGTCGACATACCTTCCCATGCGGAAACCGATGTAGAAACCTCCCTTCCTGTACATGCTCAACATGCATCACCACATCGCGGTTTCCACCTCCGCTCGTGGCCGCCACAATGTCCTTGTAGAACGGAAATGGAATAAAGATAATAACAGCCAGCAAGTACACCATGGCTGCTATCGCGCCCATGCATTCCGGCAGCTCCTTTTTATGGTGTTTGCTCATATCCACGCCTTTCAAGCCGGCCCTCATGAAGGTTGGTCCCAGCCATCGGATCATGGAGAAGGTTGCGCTGAATGCCAGCCCGCCAAGCGCGAGCGAAGCGATGAGTGGGTAGCCATCACCCTGGAAGGTGTTGGCGAGGACGGCGACACAAGCGGCGGAGAGGGCGAGGAGGGAAAGGCTCTCGGCCTGCGAGAGGCAAGTGGTCGAATTATGGTGATTTTGGTGGTGTCCCGTCATCGTGGGGTATGCGATCGTGTTTGCGTCGGTTTCCGTAGTTCGGAGAATTCGAGGACAAGTTCGAGGAGAAAGGTAGCGAATGCGTGATGGCGAGCTACCTGATCATTTGGGGTAACATTGGCCGCTTATCGTGGAACAGTTAAGGAATGTCGGGGTCGAATGGATCGATTGATCAAATTGGTGCTTGTTCAAAGCGCAAAACGAGTGGCGCGAACTGAATCGTGAAGGCGAAGACGAAGTTCCTGGAAATCGGAAGGAGGAAAGAAGGACAAACAAAAGACAGATGTCCAAAATGACGAATACACCCATTATTGTGGGGAGCTTCGGCGCGTTCCAGCCTTGTGGGCCTGCTAATCGCCGTCGTGCTACAGGGGTTTCGGTAGTGTGGTGGTGTGGTGAGACAGGGGTTGAACCTCCAGCCGTTTAATTGACCATCTTTTTCAGTTCCCATTGGACAGGGACTGTACATGGAAGTGCGAAAAGGGGCAACCGCCCGTCATTGCATGTGAAAAGAAAGTTGATGCCAAGCATGGGAATAACTTCATGTTGACAAAAATTAAATACGGCCGTTCAATGAAATAACCATGCCTAATTCCACCAGAAACTAACACTGAAGCTAACACTCAACCCCCTCACATAGTGCCACCACCCGATCGGTATGTATAAGGTATCTCCCGGCTCCAAAATACAGTCCACAAACGGCACCTTTTTAAAGTCCTCATCCCGACCCATTTCACTATTCTCTCTGCCCCCTTCATCTCCTGACTTTACCTCCTCCTCATCTTCTCCCTCCAACTTATCCCACCCTTCAACAACCCCAACATCAACCTGACTCGTATTCCCCATTTCCACGCCCCCCTCCTTTCCCCTTGGCCTCATCCTTCCCGTCTGCTCTGGCCCATACAACCGCACATACTTCCTCCCCACTACTTGCACGAGCAAATTATGGTACGGATCCGTGTGCAACGGAGTGATCGTGCCCGGTGGGCCGAACCAGGCGTTGAGTTGCGGCGAGTCAAGTTCCGGTTGATCTTGACTTGGGTCTGTGGGGTGTGAGGGAGGCGCGGTGTAGCAGAGATCCGGAATCAGAATGTCTTGTCGTAAACGGGGCAGTTGGAGAAAGAGGGGGTGCTGCGCTAGGTATGCTATCTGGGTCTTGTCTTTTTCGGGTAGTAGGTCGGAGGATGATGGTTGCGGTTGAGCTGAGGATGACGAGGAGAGGAAAGGGGATACGTTGGAAGATGAGGGAGTGTAGGGGATAGAAGCGTCAATGTACTTGGATAAGAACTCGCCGAACGAGATGATTTTTTGCCCCCAGCCTTCGTCAACGTAGCTGCGGCCGATTTCGACGGGTACGAGCCGCCGGCCGGAGAGCGTGCGAGATAAGAGGTAGGCTGGCTTGTTCCAGGGGTGGGTGGTGAGTGCTGGCCAATGGTCTACCAGACCTGTGATGATCAGGGGAGCTGGGCCTGGGTTACCGTCTGGGCGAGGTTTCGCAAAGTGTGACTGAAATGCCTCAATGGAGAGGGACTCGGCAGAAACCCTTGAGATCGGGTTCTTGACGGGCGGCGTAAAGGGTTCAATGGTGGAAAAGGATGGCGTGTTTTGCCAGCTGTCGTTGATTCCCTTGATCACTTCGTCTTTGGTGTTGGGAGACGATGAGAGACGTTGCTTCTTTTGTGGTCTTTCGCCTTCCTGCTCATCATCATTACCCTTCTTTGCTTCACCAGCAGCAGCTGTGGTCACAGCTGTCATATCCCCCAGAACATCCTCCAACAACGCAAAAGCTTCATCAACCCACTTCCTGCCGCGGCTTTGGCCCGCAGCCCCAGCTAATATCAAACTCAGATCCAGCGTCTTGACCATTTCATCAACAATCCTCTTCCTTTTCATCCTTTCCTCCTTCCTCTTCTCGTCAGCGTCCTCCTTATATCCCGCATCAGCTTCAAAGTCAAACTCAAGCAAAACTAAAACCGCAAACCTCAAGATCGCCGCATCCGTGTAAAGCTGTCGCCAGCAGGCCGGCACCTCCTTATACATGTACGCATAGAACTTGCCATATGCTGTTTTTGTCAACAGTTCGAGTCTTCTTTTTACCAGTGAAATTGCCTTTTCGCGTTCTGCCCCGGATTGGAGACTGGCATAATCGCTGGGAATGGCATCGCCTGAACTGGTTTCATAGAGCTGCAGGATCCTCGACGCTTGTCGGCATAAGAGTTCGACTAATGGTTCTTTGCAGCCTTCCAGCCCGCAGAGCCGGATGCTTCCCAAAGTTTGGACGTTGGATGGAGGCTTTGGTGAGCCAGCATTCTGGTGAGGTGATGGAGACGATGATGAAAAGGCAGGTTCGTCGTCAGCAATGTAGGCGCATTCTTGAATAATCTGTTGGACTGCGCTTAGGCAAAGCCCGATAAGTTTTGACCTTGACGTAGTTGTCATTTCTTATGACATGACCTTGCTAAGAAGATGGCGGGGGTGTTTGTTTACTTGGCAAAGGATTGTGAGAGGATGACAAAAAGGGGGAAGCTTGAAAGACAGTAGCCAACCAGGTTGACGAATCCCACGTTGATGTCGTGTGCACAGCTTTGATGTGCGCGCGCGGTTTATGCAAGTTATGCACGCATGGCACGTGCTTCCCATTGGCTAACGAGATGATTGGATATACGATTTGCCTGCTGCCAACTGCCAGCTAGTTTAGTGTAGTGTAGCAGCGACATCGCCCACTGGGCTTGTGTAACGTCAATAGTTCATGAGACACTCCGCCATCGAAACCACAACCCGGCAACGGGAATAGCTCCGGTGATTCAGAACCAAATGAGGTCGAGAACGCAGACACTGTGCCACGCGCAAAAAAAAAGGTCGTGAAAAGCAACGCTGCTTTCATTTAACCCTGAATTGGAATGAAACCAGCCCAATAACATGCCCGATTTGATCGTGGATCACCGCCGAAAAAAAAAAAAAAAAAAGAAAAAAAAAAAAAAACTAAAAAAAAAAAACACTCTTCCTGAATGGCGGAAATGATGGCGCCCTTTGGAGCGGTGGCCGGAACCCTTCTGGGCATCCCTCCTTTCAAGGTGTCCCCGGCACACTGGGAGTGACTGGGCGTCTCCTCCTCACCTCAGCTTCTTGTCAGCTTGCTGCAGTTTGCACCACCACAACATGAACCCAGGCGCCAACGCCCACCCCTCTCGACTCCCGGGGCGCCCTTCGCCCGTTTTTCCCTCGGTCTGGCCCCACCCCCTTACCCGACAACTCGGATTCGGCCCTTGACTCAGATCCAAATGATCCAAACTGTCGGGTTTCAAGGTGGAACGCAAAAGTAACAAAGGTCGTGTCGTGCTTACGTACTGTACTGCGCATGCAAATCAACGGCTGCTCGCTTGTTGGGGAAGTGGAATTCGGACCCGACAGTATGGTTTGACTGAAGAGCCGATGTGACATGTCAACATCGACTCCGAAGAACACCTTGGAAAAAGACAAATTTGAATCCTTTCTGTTTCGCTCTGTTGTTTCTCGATTCCTCACCAAATTCCTATGTCTGCTGACTACTGCCGAAACTCGTTGTACTCGGATGCGCGCTCAATGGCGGCTTCTGGCCTACTATGAAGTATACCGGCAATTGCGCATGGACGCGCCGGTCGTTCAACACAGCCTTCACACTGCTTTGGAGTTCCTCTCTCTCCTTCTCCTCCATTCCGTTTTCGATAAAGGGCCTTGCCGACATGGCAACACATAGATCCATGCTTACCTCCTTCATGAGCCGGCCTATGATGCGCTGATGCTGGTCCCTGGGCCACTCACCCACCGGTACCTTCATGACGATTTCCCGCACGTTAATGAAACCTATTCGGTGCATCAACTCGGAGATGCGCTGGGCGATTTCAACCTGGAATCCGTATCTGGTTGAGAGCACGTCGCGCGTAAGATCATAAAATCTTAACAGCGCGTGATCAGGTTTAACCGTGTCATCATCGCTGAAAACGTGCGGCTTCACTTCTACGGACTCAACCCAGCCGCCAGGCTTAAGGTTCCTGCGCCGTACACATTAGCGGGATCAAAAAAAGAGGTGACAGATGACAGAAGCAGTCTTACTCAAATATTCTCCGGAATAGCGTTTCGTTGTCTTTGAGCGTTATACTGACCCAGCGCAAATGGATAAAGTCAAAGTCCGAGTCTTGTACCCATTCGTCTTCGATATCGTCTACCACAAACTCGACATTTGGCGGAATCCAGACAGGTTGAATTGGAGACAAGTCAACGCCTACTACTTTGGCGCTAGGATAAATCTCTCCCACTGGCAAAGTGTCAGTTTGACGTACGAACGAAGCAAGAGTGGCTCACCGCAATTCTTCCTCGGTACATACTCTCGATGGCCCAATCGCCAAATCCGGTCCCCAGATCAGCAATCTTTTGGGGACGAGTTCCGATCGGCGCAATAAATAGTTTTCCTTCCAGTATCTCCTTGAGCATGGCATGCCGCATGTATTCGCGGTTGTACTCGAGGTCATCGTTGGGTATCGGGTATCTTCCTTCGCGAAACGTATGATACCGCCTGGACCGAGCATTAGCAACAGTACAAACGAAGAGTGTTGAGTGACCCTTCCCCTGATACGCACCTTCCATATTCCCAGACGTGGTCATTCACGCTGGATGTAAGAGAGCCATATCGCGACTCGGCTATGCTTGGGTCATAATCCGAGGTGGCTGTGTCCTCTCCGCTCTGCCATTCGCCCTCGGCCAGCGGCTCAATAACGCCCGCACCTTGTTCCATCTCGCTGTCAAGTGGTCCAGAACAGATCTCCTCTCGATTCTCCGGGTTGACGTTTGATTCGATCCTGAGAGGTGTAAGTACCGAGTGTCGAAGCTGGAGGTGCATGATCCACCTCACCTTCTTGGACAAAGCATATGTCGCCTCGCTGCTGGATTCGCTTGGGTGGTTGATGTTCTGGAAAGGCCGAGGGAAGTTGTAGATAAGGAACAGAAATGCCTTGTCGGAGAGATCGTGGTGGATCAGGTAAAAGGAAATCGAAACTGGGGCTCCAGAAAGACGTTACCAATGGGTGCTTATGGTCTTTCGGGTCGGCCTGGGAAGAGACTCGTCATTCACTTGGACTTGTCGGAGAAGCCCCGACCAAGCAGAAGAGAGAGACGAGCAGGCGGGGGAAGGGGTAAAATATCTGATATTGGAGACATAGTATCAAGTCCCAATGAAGAGCTTCAAAAGGCGGAGTGCCGTGGATACTCGGGGCTTATACATACAGTAGACACCGCAAAGAAAACCATAATTACCTGGGCTATGAGGGGCGTGTATAGAGCGGAGTGGGTATGATAAGTTACCGGGGCGCCAATCAAGGGGGAAGGGATCTCTAATGACATGGGCCGGATGCATATGAGAAAACGCCATCTATGCATCTCCAGCACCAGCGCACCGAGTAGCCCAAACTCGGGTCTCAGTCAGGCCCCGTCTGCTACGTGCTAAAGACCAAGAAACCTGAAGCGTTGCCGCGCTAAGAGGTCTCTATGGCCTTATGTAGTGTACTACGTGGAAGCAGAGATTCGAAGTCGGAAACGTACCAGTAGCGTCCCGGCAGCGTAGCCAGGACACACAGCGTAGCACCTTGCAAGCCAGTTCGGCAGACGAACCCCTCCCCCAGCTCTGGATCCATCATCCCACAACCGCTGCGGGAGCCGCAACAGAGCCCACCGTGCTGGGACAGTTCCAGTCTGACACCCCCCTGGTCTCGGGCGGCAGGCCAGGGAGCCAGGGAAGCCAATCTGCCCAGCCGTGCCGACACATACCACACCCAGCAAACCAGACACACCAGAGGCAGGACCAAGCCTGTTACCGACCTGTCGGGCACGAGTGCAGGCATTCCGGTAGAGATTGGCATGGGGTTTGCGAGACCTACCCATGGACGAGCGAGCAAGGGCAGGATTCTAGAATAGGATGTCGTCCCCGAAACAGTCGAACATGCACTGAGGCCGCTTGGCCCATTGGCTTGTGTCGTTTTTACACGTTTGAACAAGCAACGACAAGTCCTTTCCGCATGAGGAACCCTTTTCCATTGGCCATGTGGCACAATGGGAAATCCCAAAGTGACGGATCTTGGAATGAGAGCGGAAACTTTCAGCCGCCCGACAGGCCCGGAAATGGAAGTTGGCGAAGCAGGGAATTGCTGGGGAATCTGCGAGGGATCGGAATGGACGATATGTATCGGGGGACGGGGCGAGTCCACATCTGCCACCGTTGCCCACCTTGTCCTTGTCATGGGAGACCACTCTGGTGGCTACCCGAACTCCCGGGACCCAGCTTTTCTTTTTCTCGTGAGGGGACAGAACATGTCCTCGACCTGAACCATTGTAAGCGATCGGACCGGCAAGAGCTCCGCCATGGTAAATCTGCTCCAAATACACCACTTTTGTGCACCGAAAAAACCGCGCGAGAGGGGAATACAACAAGCTTGTCAGGTATCAAGTACCCAGTGAGTATGGCGCAGTAAACATGATGGTGAGCCCATGGCCTCATGAGCACTCGGCCCCATCGTTTCCCCTCGCATCAAACAGCTTGCCGAGCTATGGGTATACGCTTCAAATTGTTACCGCGTCCAAAAGTAGCGTATATCTGGCAAGGTCTGGCTGGCTACCTGCCCAAGTCCCCGGGTCGCTTCCATGCGTGACTCTAGTGAACTACACGGTAGGCGCACCCCAGGGCAACTTACAAACCACAAGTGTTTTGAAAAAGCGTGTCGATCACCTCGTTGCTGGGTCCAACCATCAGTCAGTTCCTCTGAACAGCCTTCTTCCTGCTTTGGTCAGTGAAGGCAGAGGAGCGGTCAGGTTGACCGTAGAAAAGCGTGGGCCGCAAGAGTGGCCGCCGTCGTGGCTGGCTTGGCAGGCCGGCTGGCTACTGTAGTAGCATGGATGGAGTAAAATTGAGACTGTCGCCGACGAGACGGGGAGTGGTGTGGGTGTCGTGGTGGATGGTCAGTGTTGTGAGTGGTGTCTGGTGTGCGGCAGTTGTTGTGTTGTGATCCGAGCAATGGAAATGTGGATTGACAACTGAAAAGAGGGACCAAACTAAACAGAAAAGATGGAAGCTGGATTATAGGTCGAATCGGAAATCCGGAGACGCTGATCCGGAATCCAGGATTGGAAAGCACATCGTTAGATGGCCCCTTCCTGTACTAGGTATTGTACTTCAACTCGCACTCTGCAATCTCGGAATAGTTGTTCATAATCCCCCGTCCCTTCCTTCACCGCGGACCTTTCTGTGGGACATGGATGTCTGTCGGGACACCTATGCTAGGAGATGGAGTGGAAAGAGCAGCTGGTTACCCAGGTTGATAAATTAGTTCAGTTCCAGCTGTTGGGCAGCCCCACGGTGACAGTGTTCTCAGATGATTCCACGGCAACTAAAGAGTTCACTAAAATCCAGGGACATTCGCCAACAGGAATTCTCGTGAAATTCCACGTTCGACCAGGTGGACAAGTTGCAGAAGTGGAAGCTTCTATCTCATTGCTGTCGTGCAGGAACCTGACTGGCCGTTGTTCCGTTGTCCTCTGGGCAGGCATTTGCCTATTAGGTATGTACCTAGTGTAGTTTATTACTGTACCAATGCCCGTGCTTCGGTCGAGGGATGGCCGCCCCAGGGTGCCCCTGTAGCCTTGGCTGTCAGCAGCTGCCCTGGGCAATTCGCGCTGTACCCCGCCATTTCTCGACCATTTCTTGATACATACCTTACCTTACCTACCTCTAAGTACCTCCCGTCTTGCCTGCCCAAAACCCAAAGCCCCACTACGTAGGTACCTTACCTCTAGCAAACTGGTCGCTCTGGCCGCGTCCTTTCCATCAGGTCACTGCACGCTTTGTGCTGACGCCCCTGCAGTCCACGGCAGTGGTTGATAAGTAATGCACGCTGTGCCCGCCCTGGCACAAAACCACTTTCACAAAGTCGCGTCTCGAAGCGCGTCCGAAGCGCAGCGCTGGTTGGCCGCCCTTCCATGTCAATTAAAGGATCCTGGCCAACATCAACAAAGGAACACTCCTATCAACACCATCATCCCTCACCCGAATTATTGTCGACTGCGACAACACTATCCGACTGACGTGCATCGCCATCACACCAGTATTTTTTTGCCATCGTATATTTCAAGCTACATAGTCCATAGCAGAAAGCTCTTAACGCGGGGCAGGCCGCGTCGCGCATCCCCGTCGGTTTTTTTTCTGCCCAGTGAACAGAGTTCAAGTTAGTTACCTCGAGTAAACTACAAGTGTTCCACGCCGGCGAATATCCCACGACGACGTCGACTCGCCGCCCCGCCTCGACATTCCGTCCCCAGCCGACCTCCCTCGCAGATCCACCCTCGATACCGATTCTCCCTTCGCAATGTATCTCCCTCGACAGCTTATATCAAAACTCTACCTCCACTTGCAAAACACCCGCCATCCACTATCGCCGCCCGTCCTCATCTTGGTCGCTCTCGAGACCGATGCGCTATGTGCCTGCCGTATCCTAACCCAACTTCTTAAACATGACTATATCCCGCACAAGATCCAGCCAGTCGCTGGCTACTCCGACCTCGAACGTGCCGGTACTGAGCTCGTCAGCCCCATGATGGAGACCCGTGGTGGTGCTGGAGGAGTCGTCGTATGCTTGGGAGTGGGTGGCATGGTTGACCTCGGCACAGTTCTGGGACTTGAACCCGAGGGCGAAGAAAATACCTTTGGGGGTGTAGAGGTGTGGGTGATTGACTCTCATCGCCCGTGGAACTTGGGCAACGTTTTCGGCGGCTTTCCCCTCGAACCAGAGACGCAAGAGGCCAGGACATTCTCTGCACGAACCCCCATTGGTGTCAATGGCGGCCGGATAGAGCGAGCATACAAACCAGGCAAAGGCGGCATCATTGTCATGGATGACGGCGACATTGAAGAAGAGCTCTCCAAGGAACGAGATGCGTATTTGGCCCTAGTGGATATGCCCGAAATCGAAGATGATGGCCGAGACTTGGGCGACAGTGAAGAAGACGAAAGCGAGACCGAGGAAGACATTGGTGAAACATCAGTTGTTGCAGGCAGAAAGAGGAAATCATGGTCTGACTTCGACGAGGACGATGATGCAGACGATCGACCTAGACAGCGACGAAGAAGCAATTCGGTGAGTACTTTCCGATTTCTTCATAGTAATACATCTCTCATGCCAGATACAGTCGAGTCCAATTCCAGATTCGCCTCGCCGGCCTCAACACCGTGGTCTCATATCTCTACGCGACGATGCCCTATTTTCCAGTGACGCGCTGGAAGCTCCGCCTGCAGCACAACCACCCAGAGGCCCTTCAGCCAACACTCTCCGACGAAGATTGCTGCGACTACGACGAGAAAACGAGGGAGTTCTGCGCGAGTACTACCGACTGGGTACATCATATTCGGAGCCCATCTCGTCCATGATGTACTCCCTCGCGTCAGAACTAGGTCGTGAAGACAACGACCTGCTATGGTTAGCGATCGTTGGAGTCACGTCAATGGAGCTGTATGGCCGCTCATCTGCCGGTATTGCGGTAGCAGCTCGCAGGTCAGACGCCCGCATTTCCGGTTGGCTCGGCATGCGTGGTGCGAGAATACGACAGCTTCTGCGTGACGAGGTCAGACGTCTCAACCCACCAGAGATGGGAAACGGCCGGGTGCTCCCCGAGACAACGGGAATTATCCCAACAACCGCTCGAAGTCCGGAGGATACCAGTATCAGGTTGTCGCCGGAGCCCAAGTTCCTGCTTATTAGGCACTGGAGTTTATACGACAGCATGCTTCACTCACCCTACCTCTTCTCTCGGCTAAAGACGTGGAGCGAGGCTGGCATGAAGCGATTACACAAACTTCTCGCCAAGATGGGTGTCAGTCTGGTGCAGTGCAAGCAGAGTTATGCCCACATGGACATGATGTTGAAGCGCGAACTTCGCACCAAACTACTAAAATACGCGTCTCTCTACAACCTCGACGAACTTGTCCCGACAATAGACACGGACGGGAAAGATCGCGGAGGTGCCAAAGATGGATGGGGCTTCGTACGCAGTTGGGGTTGGAGGGCAACCCTGAGTGCGCAAGATGTCGGTGTCGTAGTCGGAGCCCTGTTGGAAGTGGGGAAGAACACCACTAGTGCTGATGATCTTCCTGCTGGTCCATCTCAGGATCTTCTCGACGTAGACAACAACCAGGGCCAAAGTGAGGAGTGGATCCCCAGGTTCTGGGAGGCGTATGATGCGCTGGAGGACATTGAGGCCCTTAAGGCTGGCCTTCCCACGGCGCAGTATCTACACAAGGCCATCTTCACCACTGGCACGACAATTTTGAAGAAGAAACAGATATCCCATCTGCGCGCATTCCGCATGTGCGTGGTCAAGGACTCACCAGATGCGACACTCTTCAACCACCCCGGCGCCTTGACCAAGCTTGCCCTCTGGATCGGTGAAGCACTCGCGGAACAGGAAAAAGAAGCCACTGGCGGGAGGCTCGCCCATGGCGGTCGTGGTACACCTCTCGTAGTGGCTAGTCTAGATGACAAGCGCGGAGTGTATGTCGTCGTCGGTACTGGCGGCGGCGGTGGGCCAGACACCAAGTTTCTCGACCGTGAATCGGCCAAGAAGCGAGCCGAAGAAAAAGAGGCCAAAGCTAAAGCCAAAGAGATGCAGCGAAGGATCAAGGACAAGATCAAGGCCGAGAAGAAGGAGGCCAAGAGAAAGGAAAAAGAAGAGAAAAAGAAAGCCAAGTCCGACGCCGGCGGCGATGAGGACGAGGAAGAGGACAACGAGGAAGATAGTGACGACGACTCGGATCTCTCTGATTCGGACTCGGACGACGATGACGAGTCGGACGAAGATGAGGACGAGCTCGATCAGGAACTTGAAAGGGGCTACGGCCTCAACAAATTCGGAACAGCGTTCCAAGACGTGGTGGCGGAGACTAATGCCAGAGTGCGCATCGACAGCTTTGAGCACTGCGTCGTGGAGGTCAAGAAGGAGGATCTTAGTGGCTTCTTGGAAAGTCTCAGCATGAAAGTCGTTATTGGGTGAAGGAAGGAAAAGTTTGGGTTTGCTAATTCTGGGGGGGAAAAAACCATGGGCGGGGGGGCGTCAAAGGGGGTTTATTTACTTGACCAGGGGAGCGGCAAGAGTTCATACCTGTGTCCAACAAAATGAAGAGCCAGAACCACTCGTTTGAGAGCTGGCATGGCATGGCATCGCATTGAGGCTCGGATGATTGAGCTGCACGCCGAGCTACGTACATGCAATATAGGCACTTATAGTATTGAGGCTCGAATGATTGAGCTACCTTTAGCAATGTGCATGCATATATGGAAAATGCTCGTCCAAGCAGATGGGGCTTAAGCAACAGCTAGAACACTTTTTTCTTTTCGTTTCTTTTCTTTTATACCGCTATAGTCATACGGCACATCCATTCACATAACATGCAATGGGCGAGTTACCAACTTTGAGTTACTCTCCAAAATTCTTCGTTTCTTACTTGTTTTTTTTTTCCGCTTTTCCTTTTGGACATACTTGTAAATACATGTGTCAACCGTAAAAACGAACCTCATAATCTCAAAGATAATGGTACACTCGGCCCGGTTTCTCTTTCTTTCTTTGTATACACTTCGCCTCTGCTAGGCTCATACTATGAGTCTCTCACCTCACATACACAGCATTCCACCAAACAGGCAACGATGGCACTGCCCCCTTTGAGCCTTTGAGGCTTCAGAGACACTAAAGTAGTCTGGCCGACCACTTGGCTACCTCCAGATAGTGATGGAGCGGTGATTTTCTATAATAGCAATTGATGCTGGTTTCGATCAATTGTTTTGTGAATGACTAAAGGGTTTCAGTATTGTTGGCATAGAGATTGACGTCGTTTATTGACAGCCGGTAGAGGTATGTAGGTAGGTACTACATAATGAAGCTTGTAGTGTTAAGTGGAGCTATATCGGAGTTTGTTAGTAGTCCTTCCGTCATCGGTTATCTTTTCCCTCTTTTTCTCACCATCTTCCAGAACGCCTTTTTGTTGCACCAGAGTTTCCTCCTTCTCCTTAGACCGGAATCGTCTGCCTACCCCCATACATACCACAAGAAGGAAGATCCCGTCTCTTCTGAGGAGAGGACAGATTCAAGTGGATTTGTTTGGATCGGTACGAGCCAGTCAATGTCTTGGCGGGCTTTGCACTGCCTCCTTTCCTTACTACGTCAGTCCGGCACTATCTTCCAAGTAGGAAAGTCGCAAAGTTGCAAAGGAGCTGAAGAACAACCTGTTTTTCTCAGACCGCCGTGGAGGTCCGATCAGGTGGAGGGTTTTGAAAGAGAGAATATCAAGGGCCCGATTACGTTTGACGACAATAGACTTCGTTTTACCTTTGGTGTTATTAAAGTTGGTGTTCAAGTGGTCGACCGTTAATGACGAAGTGGGGCGAACGACTTCTCATTTTGGGCTTTGGGTCTCCTCGGAGCGAAGAATGATTGGGTGTTGCAGACGGAGCCTCAAAATACCAAGGAGAATTGTTGGTACCAGGCCCGTCGGTTACATGTAATGCTAAAATATAATGGACAGAACATCAACGCGATCGAATTTGCGCATTTTGGTGTCAAGAGGTTTGCTGTTTGACATCGAGCGCAAACTACTTGTATATCATTTACTTCCACGGTCACCCCAAAAAGTGAGATGAGCCGGCCGCCGGGCATGGGTGCCCGAGAGTTTGCGGCGCTGGAATCACTCTCAAGTATATCTTGTCAGAAAATGTCTTTTCCGAAGTCGCCTCCCCTATCTCTTCATCGTACGCCGATTGATGTTGGTTTGGTTGAATGGTGGCCTCCGTTTACCTCCCAGCGCTCCCATCCTCCGGCGCGGGCTCTGGAGACCTGCCCTTCTTGTCACTCGGGCTCCCTGCCCGACAAATCAGAGAGCAGCAGTTTTTCCAGCCAACCTGGCATGATAGCTGGCGCATGCGCTGCCTACACCCAAACGTCCAGAACCCGATCGAATTTGTTCCTTGGCCGTGCAGCCCCTGTCCCAGTTATTAGAAATCCCGCCCGTTGCCCCTCTTTGCAAATGGATGCGAATATCAACCGAGTTCCTTGGGAGAGAGGAGTGAGGGCCCCACGTAAAGTCTGAAACACATGCTGGAGAACAAGCTGAATGTTCGGAAAAAAGTCCGCGTGGAAATGATGCTGCATCGGCAGTAGTGTACTCAAGCAGCACGAGCAGGTACAAGGCAGGTTTCTCGAGCAAAGGAAGAGGAGTCGACTCAGAAACAGCCTGGCCTCTTCATGCCAGGCCCGGCGTCAAATCAATGGGAGGGAGTCGAAGTGAGGCGCCGCACGAAACGAGCGGGCGGATCAGGTTCAGATTCGAGCGGTCGGGTGTTCCTTACCTCCTGGCTAACATATGGTCCCCTGCTAGTCACTCTAGTTCCACATTTTAATAACGGCCAGGACACTTACAGTGGTTAGCTGCAGTTAGTGCAGCAGCTCCAGGGCACTGCATCAAAGGTTGCCCATCTCGCCAGACTGCCGCCGTCATCACCTCCGATCTCCCGCGCATTTTGCCCTGCCTCTCGCCCTCCTGTGCTGCCAATACCTCTCTAGACCTGCTCATCCCATTTCTTTTTCTTTTTGCCATTACAGCCAACACCTCGACATCTTCTCCTATCTACTTCTCTTCACTTCCGTCTTCAGTGCAACCCCAAGGCCACTGATTGCCGCTTACCGAGTCTGCTACTTGAACTATCCTATCGGCCGACGACAATATAAATCCACACCATACAAGGCTGCTTGCTCCCATCGCTCGAGCACCGTCTTGCCCTTCACACAGCGTCTCGTTACCTACGACCAAGTCAATTACAAACGTTAACGGTATCCCTGAGAGAAAACCCACGGATCGTCACCGAACCCCTCCTCCGACCTTTCGGCGCCTACCCCGTACGCGACGCCATTCCGAGTGACCCCTTTCCCTCGAACCGCCGCATCGTGGGACCACCTTGCGAACGACATCAGCATTTGCTAAATAGTACCGAGTTATCCGAAAATGGGCAAATCGTGAGTGACCAAGTCCCCCGAAATCTCCGCGATTCTTGCCCGATCAGCACCCACCACCCGACCGCTTTCTCCGCATCCCATCATCATCATCAATACGCACCGCACACCTGTTTCTCAGCAGTGGAGGAGGGACCGTGATCCGTCTTGCTGAAGTCTCCTCTACCGTCGACCTACCCTGTCCTTCACTCAATTCTACATATCATACAATGGGCCTCTTTACCAGGAGTCGTTCCTCTGCGCAATCTCCCAAAACTGAAAGCAAGATGAAAAGGCTGACACTGAACCCCGCCCGACACAGGCAGAGCAAGCTCGAGCGTGATAAGCTGGAGGAGTTGGAAAAGGCCACCCACTTTGACAAGAAGGAGTTGCAGCAATGGTATAAGGGTGTGTTACCTATCCCCGTCCCCTTTCTCCTATCGCCGACGACCCCTTTGAACACCGCCGCCGCCGCCAACGATTATATGCCCTGACCGATGCGGCGCTGTCCCCCCATCGCAAGCGCTCGCTATGCGCCCTCGTTACCAACCAAATCTTTCGCCTCATAGACAGCCTCTAACAAGTTCATTCACAAACAGGCTTCCTCAAGGATTGCCCCTCCGGCATGCTCACCAAGGCCGAGTTCCAGAAGATCTACGCACAGTTCTTCCCCTTCGGCGACCCATCGTCATTCGCCGACTACGTATTTAACGTATTCGACACGGACAAGTCTGGCACCATCGACTTCAAGGAGTTTATCTGCGCCTTGAGCGTCACGAGCCGCGGCAAGATGGAGGACAAGCTCGACTGGGCCTTCCAACTGTACGACATTGACGGCGATGGCAAGATCACCTACGACGAGATGCTGAAGATCGTTGAGGCGATCTACAAGATGGTGCGTTTACCCTTTCCTACTTATCTCTCTACAGCCCTTCCCGTGTCGTCGCAATCTTGCACGCTAACATTCTGATCCTTCAAAACAGGTCGGCTCAATGGTCAAGCTCCCCGAAGACGAAGATACTCCCGAGAAGCGCGTCAGCAAGATCTTCCGCATGATGGACAAGGACGAAAACGGCAGCCTTGACATGAAGGAGTTCAAGGAGGGCAGCCAGCGCGACGAGACAATCGTATCCGCCCTCTCCTTGTACGATGGCCTCGTCTAACCAAGTTTCTTTTCATCAAGTATCATTCGAGTTCTTTCGTTTAGCCACAGGGGGGGACGGCGCGCAACGGTCTGGCGAAGCAAATTTTACCAAGAGGAGGAGCATGATTTGATGTGTGTTGCAATGCCAACAGGCAAAGCCTCATCTCCCCGAAACAAGGCAGAGCTGGAGTTATAAAGGGTGGAAAAGAAAGAGAAATCAGTTGTTCATATGGAAGCAAGATATCCCAGGGAAAGTGTGATGAACAAGGGGAATGGTTGCGAGAAAGAAGGGAAGAGAGAGGGTTCAGCCATCTCGGCTCGGCCCAGCTCGATAAGTGTGCGCGCATACATCGATCGGACAAGATAACAAGAAAGCACAGCCGGCCACATGCTGTTGGGGCGTCTCAGCTTTGGTTGTATGGTCGGAAAGGAGCCTCGCTACAGGTACCACCCATTCGACCCGGTGCCTAGTCTAGATGCCGGCCGGGATGTGGTGGTCTTTGGGGCTGTGCTGTTCTTGGCTTAGGTCTTGAAAGAGGAGATTCCAGACCTGGTGATCACACGGATTGGATGGAAGGGAGAGGGGAAGGACATGGGAGCACACAAAGGGAAGTCGGAGTGAGAGGGGATAGAGACGGAATAAGGAGGAAGAAGAAGAAGAGAAGGAAGTCGTGATGAACGGCGTTACCTGGCTGGTATGGAACGAACGAACACACTACTACGGTTTGGTCAATTACAACAATGGACGACCTTGACGTAGAAGCTATCTCCCATGCGTCGTGTGTGGAGACTTTTAGGCTTGGTATTTTTTTTCCTTTGAGAGTTTAGCAATTTTTTTCAACGTTTCATCCGTTTCGAGTCCTTCATAATGTGATAACCGGGCTGTTGACTGTAGTCTTTCTCTAATTCCCGCGTACTCCCCCCTACCGCCAGGTTTGACATAAACAGATGAGGTTTATTTCTTAATTTTTTTTTTTATTTTTTGTGCTAGTTGTAAGTCAACACTGCCAACACCCCAACAAGTGACATCATCGTCATCTTGCTCGCCAAGATCAACCCGTTCTGGGATATAATACCAATGTGGGTGTTTTTTATTTTTTTTTATTTTTTTTTTCTCATTTTCTTTTCTTATATTCAAGCCCCCCGTTTTCGTTCAGATGCGTAATGCAATGATCTTTCTGCTTACCCCATTCATGGTCGTCTATGTCTTCATTTGACCTATCTCTTAGTCTTTCCTGATGCAGTTCTTCATCTGTCTCAATACTCACTCCGTCACCTTCAAACCGTATACGGGTGTCACTTGAAAGGATTCGAGACTATATTCTATATAGTCAGTAAGAGGATGGATGTGTTAGCGGTGATATGATTCTGCCTCAAGCAAAAGAGACGTTACCGGGAAGAAGTCCGTCGTGTCCAAAGCCAGATGTAGTTATACATCGATGACAGTGTGTACTGTTATCAATACGCAGCGTGAGAAGCAAAGGCTACTACAATGGGGTATCATCAATAGATACTCGCCCGTCCGTTTCGTATTAAACAAGCCCCAATTAAAACTCCTTTCCCAACCTGAACCCGACAAAGGAGTGGAAGCGAAGAGTAAAAGAAGAGAGCTGATCCTCCTGTTGGCGGAAGACCAGAGAAGAAATCCATCTAGCAAAACAACGCAGACCAGGACCCTAGAAGAATTAGAAAAGGGTAGTGTAGCACAAGTAGATGGCAAAACTATATCAACGCAATTATTCGTCGCTTATATAACAAGAGAGTAGAAACCCATTACGACATAACAGACATATAGCTAGGGGGTCTTAGAAACCCCTTTGGTCGCGGTCGCCGACAACAGTAACGTAACGTAACATAAATAACTAGGAATGGTATAGTGGAAACATAATTCGCGCCCCGAGACACGCATAGACATAGACATAAACAGCAAAAACAAGGTGTACTTTTTCATATACAACAAGAGAGATCAGGTAGGTGGCAACGGAACCTCTACTGCTTGGGACCATAAGCCTCATCAACCTCCTTCTTGTACTTGTTGAGGATGCCCTTGCGGTTGAGCTTCTGGGCGGCCGTTACGAGACCCTGTGATAGATTTGGTTAGCGGTGGGTTAGGTAAACAAACAGATGTAGACAGTGGAAAACTCACGTTCTGGGGGGTCCACTCCTCATCCGACATAACGACACCCTCGATAATCTCAATGCCAGAAAGGCCGCCGGCACGACCGGCGTTCTGGAGCTCCTTGAGAACGGCAGCCTGGAGCTTCTTGTTGTGTACGAGCTCCTCCAAGCTGTCACCCTTGACACCACTCGAAGAGGCGAGCTTCTTCAGGGCGGGTTCCGCGGGAACGATGATGGCGATGGGCTTGGAACGATCCTGGTCGGCGTAGACGCAAATGTTGGCGACGACGGCGGCGGAGCGGTAGATGGACTCGAGCTTCTCAAGAGCAATGTACTCGCCGTTGAGAGTCTTGACGAGGTTCTTCTTGCGGTCAATGATCTTGAGATGGCCGTTCTGGTCCCACTCGCCGATGTCGCCGGTCTTGAACCAGCCGTCCGCGGTCACAGCGGCAGCAGTCTCCTCGGGGTTCTCATAGTATTCGGAGAGCACAGAGGGGCCACGGAGCCAGATTTCACCCTGGGGGTTGGGCTTGTTAGTGGCAAAGTAACCGGCGTCGGCGAAGTCGACGAGCTTGGCCTCGATCGAGGCGGGCATGGCGCCAATGGACTCAGCAGTCCACTCGTTGGGGTTCTGGAGGGTACCCATAGCGGTCGTCTCGGTAAGACCATAGCCGATAATCATGGGGCAGATGGCCATGGAGATGAACTTTTGGGTATCCTTGGCGACAGGGCCACCACCGTTCAAGCAAAGCTTCATGCGACCACCAGTGGCATCCTTGATCTTCTTGAACACAATGGCGTCCAAAAGACCGCTCCCAGGAAGACCAAGGCCCATAAGCTTCTCCTTGAGAGCAAGTGCGCCCCAGAAAAGGTTGCGGAGGAGAGGGCTGCCAGCGTTGACCTTGGCGAGAATGCCCTTTTTGACGGTTTCCCAGACGGCGGGCACACCAACCAAAACGCTGGGTTGAAACTCGCGGATATCGCCGAGGCAGTTGCGGACGGAGGTGTCGGAGAGGGTCTTGGGGTTACCATAACCCATGGTTGAACCCCAGTAGAGGGAGGCGTTCTCGAAAACGAACTCGAGAATGTGAGCGAGGGGAAGGTAAGTCAGGAGGCGGTCACCGGGCCCAACGAAGGGCTGGACTACGGGGCAGACACCAGCGACTGTAACAAGGACGTTAGCATCAGTTCACGTACAGATCGGAGAAAAAAAACAGTTTGCGGCCACTAACCGGCAGCGACGACGTTGCTGTGCTTCAGGGGGACACCCTTGGGGGTACCCGTCGAACCGGAGGTGTACATAATGCAGCAGAGATCCTCAGGGGCGGGCGCGACGGGCGCGACGGGGTTCTGCTTGCCGAGCTGGACAAGCTCGTCGAAGCTCAAGACAGTAACACCGCGCTCGTTCCTGAGAGCCTCAATGTGGGCTTCCTTGACCTTGTTCTGGTTGTTCCAGATGACGTGTGTGATGCCCTTGGCATGCTCAAGAACGCCGTTGAGGGTAGGGAGAAGATGGGGGTCGAGGAAGATGGCCTTGGCATTGGTAGCGACCATGGAGTACTTGAGGCCTTCGGCGCCGAGTGTGTCGTAGGCAGTCACAATGGGCATGGACTGGGTCGCGGAACCATGAGACATGGCGAGCCAGTTCTGGCTTGTTGCGGCAAAGATGTGGACACGGTCGCCCTTGTTGAGGCCGATGGCGCGCAGACCAGCGCCAACGTCGAGCGTGAGCTGCTCGTAGTCCTTGAAGGTAATGAACTCGTAGTGGCCGAGCTCGAAGTAGGTCCAGTTCTTGTCCACCTCGCGCTCCTCACCATCCACCATCTTCTTGACCTTCTTGGTCTCAACATGCGTGTTTACGAGCTTGCGGGAGCCCATGCACTGGGACTCGCCATGTGCGAGGGCAGCCCACTTGACGAGTTTGTAGACGGTATCGATTTCCTCACCGATGGCCTCATTCTCGCCCCATCGCCTGTTTGGGGGTATGGCATGCAGACCGTCGATGGCGAGGGGAATGCGACGAACAGGAGTCTCGCCCTCGACGGGCGTCTGGCCTGGGACATCGAGAGTATAGGGGGGCTTGGCGACCAACTTGGGGACTGGCGTCAACGTTGGGATGACCATGATGGGCGATGGTATTAGGAGTTAGGTAGGTAAAGCTCGAGAGCGTGGGTTTCTCTGTTGGTTGGGAGCGGGAGGGCGCTGTCGGAGAGCAAGCCGGTCTTTATCGAGAAATGGGGGGAGGAGATGCACGGATTGCCGAGACCGCGGTCGCGCTAAACAGAATCCCGCCCTAGTGTCGGTTGCGGGTCTTGGGGGGGGGGGGGGGGGGGTGTGTGTGTGTGTGCGGATGTGGAAGGTCGTGTCGCCGTCTTGTAATCAGCAATGCAACTTGGAGATTGTTGGTGGTTTGGATAGGTATGGAGGTGAAGAACGGGGGAAGAGGACGGGAGAGCGGGAGGACAAGAAGACAGGTGGAGGTGGAGGTGGAAGTAACGGAAGGGAAAAGGAGTTTCTTTTCTGTCTCTTCAGTTCCTCGGACGGGACGATGGCCACAGCGGCACTTCCACTTGAGACTTGGACGGGATGCGCTCAGTTGGGGTTGGGATGTTATTTTCATTTTGGGGACTGCCCACTTGGACTGGCAAGGGGCCCATTGGTCCACAGCCTGCACCAAGAGCCCCACTCCAAAGCCATCTGGCCAGGGCAGATGACGCTAGGCAGGCTAGCGCAGTCGAGCACACAGATGCGTGGCTCGAGCTTTCTCTAGGTGCCGCGGTCTTAACGTGCCCGCTCTTGCAACTCTTGGCCCTTGCCGTCTGCCCTTGCCCGCGAGACTTCCCATGACGAAACAGACAGCTTTGCCTTGAGATGCGCTAATCGAGTAAGGATAGCGCGTCTCTAAACTTCTCCACTGTTGGGAAAGTGCTGTGGCCGGCACAAGTGGAAGCCAACAATGTCACCACTCTATGTAGTGTAGTGTGCCTAGGTACCTCTACGTAACGTTAGAGATGGATACATATGCAGTGCTGGTAAAGCCACTTCCATGCATCGTGTCCATTTCGAGCGCTTCTGCACACTGGAATACACGGCGCATCGCAGCAACCAGTTCGCAGACGTCGTCTCAACCCCCCCCTTTTTTTTTCTTTGTTGATCTTGTCTTGCCGCGACTGACCCTTCTCCAGACCGTCTGCCTCTACCATGAACTTGAACCTCCTCCAGACACTAAACACGGCCTAGTGCTCTCCGATTTGGATCAATGTGGAGCTCTTCCGAACAAGCCGGGCAGACCTTACCTCTAGTGTAGCGCATCACCGTGGACGGTCTCGGAGTATTTGCTGGATTGCCTTTGAATGGACGAGGCAGTAAGCGGGCACTGTTGGTTTCACTATTTAGGCACAAAAGGAAAAGAAACTTGGCGATACTATGAGATGCTACGATGCTTTAGGGTAGGGTAGGGTTTGGGTAGAGCCACAGGAGCGAAACAACGGAGCCGAGCAAGTCGTTACATCGAATGGGACTCTCTCGTCTGGTATTGAAGATCTCGGCCAACGACAACAGCATTGCGCCTGTGATACCTCCATACAAGAATTCAACACCATAGGAGCACAATCACAACATCAGCCCCGAAGGGCTGCGTGTACCACAAGTTCACTCTTCCCAGAGGCCCAGACTCCACGATCTAGCCAACTTGTCGGCTTGGCAAGTTATCCTGAAAGAGGCACGGAAACAAGCGAGAATGGTCCAAGTGGGTGCGCAGGCGTGTGATGACGGTCACTGTGTTTGTTTCTTGGTTTTCGAAGAAGCTTGCTTCCAAGACTCCAAGACATTTATTCCCCGCCTTTTTTTGACATCCGTCCCGAGAGCCTCCACAGCTGGGATGCATCTTCCATGCGCGCATCCCTCCGCCTTCAAGCACCCGTAACCCGAAGTGCTCCGACTCGACCACAAGCCCATGTACATAAGACGGAGTACGGTACGGACCTAGAAAAGGAAATGTGCGGGAGGACAGCAGGGACAGCATACATCACCACCAGGGATGCTCTCTGGTTTCCTTCCCTACAAAAAGCCCAATTGCTTCTCTTCTTCCTGCAAAGCTGTCCGACTGTCGTCTGTTGTCCCGCCGGACCAAGCATTGGAAATGGAGACCCGGGCGGCTGCGATTCGTTGGTCTTCTCCACTCCGGCTGCTCAACAAAACAATGTCATCCCAGTCTGCCGTCTGCCCCGTCCAGGCCAGTCCCTGTGTCTGTCTCTCCTCCTCGCCTCCGCATTCCTTTATTGTTTTTTTTTTCCCAAGGCTCCTTGCCAAGCTCTGTCTGCTCTCCACTGGATGTCGTCTTTGTGGTTTTCTATCTTGTAACTTGCAGGATCGGTTGGCATCTCGCTCGCACTCACGCATTGCATCAAACTGTGCGTCAGTCTGTAAGTGGCAAGTAGCTAGCCAACAGCAACAACAACGAAGCGAGTCCGGACTACGCACACTCAGTGATAACCAGAATGGAGAGGCATCATGAGGGGGGCTGCGAAGAGCTGAAAAGCTTCTTGCGATTGCTCGGAAAAGAGATCAAGGACTTGGACGATGCTGATGAAGGTTTGCGCGCAAAGTGCCTTTCAAGTAAAAAAAAAAAAAAAAAGAGCCTCACATAACTGACTTGGTGAATACAACCAACCAACAAACAGAGACATATGATCTCTACGCCCAAGACCTGCCTTCATCAGATCTGGGGATCATCGATCCCAAGACCGCCGAATTGCAACTCACCGTGGCCGGTCGAGAGCTCACGATCCATCAATCACCGGGAATCCTTTCCTCGGCCCGTGCCGGAGGAACTACCGGAGCCGGTGCGTAAATCAATCAAAGAAAAACCCACCCTCCTAGCCATGCCATTGCACCAGCTCCTCGGGACCCTCACCACCGGTACCCTACCCTCCTTCTGTTTACCCCTGACCCTGACCCTCACTCATCACTCGTCCATTGCTGGCCGCCTGCCCCATGCGACGATCTGTCACTCATCTCCTTAACCGTTGCCCGAGCAACAGCTCTCATTGTTGACTTTGGCATCCGTTATCGATGCGCTTCCATCTTCCCTGCCTGTGCTTTTCCGGCCTATGTTGCTGTAGCATTGAGCACACATATCTACACGTGTGCAGAGCCGCATATGTACAAGTTTAGACTAGTCACTCGTGCGCATCAACATAACATTGTACCTCCCTGCATCATTGTTCTTACTACTTGAACCCTATTTGGACACACGCTATCCAGACCCTGTCTAATACCTCTTTCGTGGCATACTTCCTAAACCCTCCTTCCTTTTTACCCGCTTCCCGCTTTCCCCTTGCCCCCCTCAAACTCATCCCCCCGATTTCAATCCTAGCTTTCACTAAAACTCTCGTCTTCACTCAACAAGTAACATGGCGAATAACCCCCCTTTTCGCAACCTGGATTTCCTCCGCTTCGAACCCTCTCTCCACGCACCTCAACCTCTTCAACCATAACAGTCCCTCGTCGTCTCTATCTTCGATGACAACATCGACAACGACAACAACAGTAATCGAACTAGGCGCCGGCACCTCCGCCATCGTCGGCCTTTTACTTGCCCCCCGCGTTGGTAGGTACGTCCTCACCGACCAGGCGTACGTCTCCAAGCTGGTGGAGCGCAACATCAATGAGAACTGGTCGTCTGTAGTGCAGCAGCAGCAGCAGCAGCAGCAGCAGCAGCAGCCGTCTTTCGTCGGGAGCGGTGGGGGTGGTGGTCAGGGTGGGAAGGGCAAGAAAGGAGGAGGAAAAGGGTCGAAGAAAGCATCATCATCATCGTCATCATCATCAGCAACAGAAGAGAAGGGACCGGGAGAGAGATTGGTTTTCAGGGCACTAGACTGGGAGCAGGATACGCCCACCTCCTCACTTGCTCAGCCGGTTGCTGCGAGTTTCGATCTGGTGGTTGCTTGCGATTGCATCTACAACGAGGCGCTGGTCGATCCCTTCGTTACCACCTGCGTGGATATTTGCAAGCTACGCGGCAGCGGCAGCACCACCACCACCGATAATGGGGGGAGGCCAACGGTGGTAGTGGTGGCCCAAGTACTCAGAAACTCGGACGTCTTCGAGGCGTGGATAAAGCGATTCGTGCAGGATTTTCGGTGTTGGAGGGTGCCTGATGACCTGATGATTGATGGGCTGAAGAGTGAGGGCGGAGGTGGGGGAACATCGGGGTTTGTGGTGCATGTTGGTGTTTTGAGGGAGGGGAATTGAATTATCAGTGAAAAGCCGAGGGCTGAATTCAACGTTAGAGGTGGGCGATACTAAAGAGAGGCAACCTAGTTGCCTCGATTATCATTATTTGTAGGCAAGCTCGAGAGTTGAGATGCTGTCAAAGAGGTTGATCATTATATGATAGTATGTAACGTATTTACCACTGGACGCGAAAAGGCCAAGTACCCAAAACTCCCAGCTCCATTTGAAATGCTCTTTGTAGAGAAGCCCCAAGAAACTGGTAACAAATCCAAGACCGTCTGAAATCCACATCATCCGAACATTTCTGTCTGTGCGCATTATCCCGTTCATCCAATGTGCTGTAGTAACTTTGCAAAGAGTCGAGATATCAACTCCCCTAAACCAAATCCCAAGCACATATCCCCACGAAGCTGTACGCACACCTCCCCTTCTTTCTCAACCACTCCTCCTTAGTCAACCCTCTCGCACACTTATTATCAATCGTTGACACGGCAAAGACGGTGATTTTCTGTCCCGGCACTCCCAAATCAATGGCAGGTATGTCTGTCCACCACCAGAACCCGTCCGTATCCAAGGGTACAAAATCCTTGTTTCTGCCATCTCGCCCCTCGATCGCCACTACGAACAGGTACTGCTTTCCCCCTCCGTTCTTTTCCGGGTCCCAGTGCACGCACACCTTGCTAAACTGAAACCGCACCACTTCGCCGCTGTAGACGGGAATTGTTGCCGTACGCGGCTCCAGGCTGAACTGATCCAGTCCATCTTTGTCCGCGTCGCCGTACCAGCACGGAGTAGGGCCGTCTCCGAGAATGTACTCTTCCCAAGTCAAGACGCGCCCGTCAGACCGGTAAAAGTGTCTCCGGTCCGTTGGAAAGTGCTTTTTGCCGATGATCTCGTTGGGGAGATAAAACATCTCCGGACTAAATTTCTTATGGAAGAGTCTGTCGTCCCCCAGGTGACCGGCGCCCCAGCAAGCGTCAATGATCTTCCATTCACCGCCATCGATGCGAACCGCGTTCCAAGCGTGGTTTGATTCTTCAGGAGGAACAGAAGAGCCAGAGGCTAGATCGTGGTGGCCAAACCCCTTGCCGTGACCGCTGATGAGGACACAGTCGAGTCCGGCAGCGAGGGCAATGGCTTTGTACACATCTGCGTAACCCTGGCAAACGGCCTTGCCGCTGAATATCTGCTCGGCGGGTGACGAATGGTGCGGAATGCAATTATTAAAGAAGCCGTGGGTGTCGTATGCCATGTTGTGGTGACACCAGGTGAAGATGGCACGGGCTTTGTCAGTGGGGGAGTCGAACGGATCGCAGAGGACGTGGGCTAGGTAACGAATAGTGTCATGACGTGGAAGCGAAGAGATCGGATGCTGCGCCGCAACAGTATCAGGCCCGGAGAAGTCTCGGCATATGAGACAGTCGGGACCGACTGGAGGGGCGGAGACTGATCGAGGAATGACCTCGGTGCCATGGGCTTTTCGAGAGACAACGACATCAAATGTAGGTCGGGAGCTCAGCGGGATGGGTGGTGGTGCTGGCTCTGGAACCGACTTGGGTCTGTCACTGAGTGTTGGACGTGGCAGACGGCGGTTGGGAAGGGGTGGGCCCGGCTCTTCCTCGACGTCAGGGAAGGTAGAATGCCTAGCGGGCCGTGAAGGAAGCCTGGGCGGCAGAGATGGGCGTGATGGGAGTGCCGGGGGTTCGCGGGACGCAGCAGACGGAGGCGGTAAAGAAGAACGCGAGGGAAGTCGCGGGGGGCCTTGGGATACGGCGGGCGGAGCTGATCTATTTGCTTCTCTTTCTAGCTCTTGCTGTGCTTCCCGGGCCTTTGCTTCGAGCTCCCGTCGTGTCGGAGGTAGTGGCGGTAGCTTAGCTTGATCGAAAGCTGGCGGTAGTTTCCTAAGAGGATGGCCGGAATCCGATGTAATGCTAGTGCGCGCGGACGAAGAGGCTGTGTTATTCCAGGACGATGCGGACACATTGGAAAGGTGTGAGATGTCGGACGAGTTGGAGTTTCTTCGAACGCCTGGGACAGGAAGAGAAGCCGAGGTTGGTCGTCGAGACGGGAGAGCCGGAGGGGTATGCTGTATAGAGTTTCGGGAGGGCAATGGCGGCGGCTTCTTGTTCACGGTGGGCATCGGCTTGTCTTCGGGAATATCTTGTTCGGTGGTTCGTCGCGGCAGTGGGGGAGGCCTGTCGATAGCGGAAGCAGCCCGAGTTGGGCGTGGAGGAAGCGACGGAGTCGGGAGACCTTCATTTCGATTCGGTAATGTCAGAGGAACAACAGGAATATCTGTTGCAGCTCGAACGGGGGGCGGAGGCGGAGGTCGTTTACCAGCAGTCGAAGGGGCGCTGAAGTTCTTTTGCTGGTTCAGGGCAGCGATGCGCTCCGCCAGCGTGTTAAACTGCGGCTCTTCCACGTCGGCCATCTTGAATAACGGACTATGGTCACACAGATCGCAGAAAGACTGAAAAGATGCGGGAAGAGAAGTGAGAACCAGAAACGAGCTAGGAAGGGGGGGAAGGCTGAGTTTTCAATCTCGGATTCACGCCAGGGGTGAATTGGAGCAACGGAGGCTGAGAGAGTCTGGGCGCAGAGATCGTCCGAAAGGCGAACGGTTGGCGTTACAGATGGGGCGCCACAAAATGCACGTAATCAGGAGTCCGAGAGTAAGTTGGCACGTGGATTGGGGGATGGAAAGATGGGATGGATGCCAGATGCTTGAAGCACATTTGATTACATTGTGTATAGGCAAGAAAGAAAAGGAACAAGAAAGCAGGCAGGTACTCAAAGTTGCAGGAAGAGACAGACACGGAAATAAATGCACTTTGTACGCCGGTGAAGGTGGCCATCGTTACTTAGCGTTGCACTCATAGCCGGCTTTATGGAGCACTAACGTTTAGCTTCTAGGCAGCCACGGTACGGTGGCCCAAGTTTGGGTTATGCTCAATTGACAGAATCTCATTCAAAAAAAGTCCGTGCCAGCTGCAAATATTAGATACGCGCCCGGGCGCGTTAACGTAGATTCAGTTTAGTAATTAAATATTTCTTACATTATATACCACCCTACTTCCTTCTATACATTAACGTACGTAAACACTTTCCCTACAATAACAACGTACTAACTATTAGCGATACGAATATACTATAATCAATTACAATCAACTAGTACGTATATAATATATATAATAATAATATATATATATATACAACTAATATTTAAAAAAGTAAAAATATCCAACGACGGCGCTACTGCTTTGGTGGCTACATTACGCCCGTATACCTTTAAGGGCAAATCTATTATAGATAGTATAGACGAAAATAAAGCCTTAGACGAGTTTAATAATACCTAGCCCTAAGAGAAACGTTTCCGCTACGCTATAAAAAAGTTCCTCAATTATAAGATTAATAAAGCCTATACTATTATAGTAAATTACAAAGTAAGTATTATTATTAAAGTTGGTTAATTAATATTAGAAGTAATTAAACTTAACGGTCAATAATAGACTATCCTCCGTCGCCTTTCTCTCAAAGTATACTAGAAGAGGGGAGAGTACATTGCATTTAAATTAAAATAAGAATATCCGGAGTAATTTATTGGTTTTACTCGTTATTTCTTTAGCGTAAAGACTAATAGACGTACTTATAATAAATATATATTATTTACTAACCCCGGTCCCTTTTTTAAGTGCGTTTCCGATAGTAAGGCTTCTAGTAAGGGCGCTTATACGAATTATTATTATAAGAGCGAGGGTAAAGGTTATTCCTTATGTAAAGGTATATATATAATTTTTTTTAAAATTTTTTATTATAATTATTTATTAATTTTTTATTTAGATTTCGAGTTGGAGGAAAAGAAGGCGAAGGATAAAAAAGTCCCTTTCTTTACTAAGATTATTTGTGGTTGTAAGGTTAAGGATTTGGAGAGAGTTTTGGCTTGGATTTGTATTGAGATCGCGGATCGTAAGATCGATATGCAGAATTAAGTTATATTTTTAAGTAACTCTAAATTAATAGTTTAAACGTAATACCTACGTTTAAATAGTTACTTATATATTATAACGTTTTAATATTAAAATCCTTAATTTTATATTTATAAAAGTTTAAAAATTAATTTTTATAAAGAGAATTTCCTTAATAGGTTTAAATAAGTAAGTATATAATATAATATTAAAAAATGAAACTTAAATATTCTATAATCATTTAAAATAGTTTTCTTTAAATTAAATATAACGAATATTTTAAATAAATATATATAAATATTTTAAGAAGTTTTTTAAATAAATGAATTTTATTTAAAGAATATATATATATTTAAATAATAAATAGTAATTAGTATATTCAAATAAACGCTTTTAAAAATCTTTTTAATAATATTTAAGTTTTATATTATCCTATATAAAACTTTTAGCTTTATATTATAAAATAAAATAATAAAATATATAGTTAATATAAAGAGTTATAATTTTTATATAGTTAATATAAAGTATAATATAAAAAAGAAATAAAATAATTATTAAAGCCTTTTATATTCTTTCTTTCTACCTTCTTTATAATCTTTTTTTTTATCTTTTTTTTATTATTTTAATTATTTTTCCCTTCCTCTCTCCTCTCTACCCTTTTTTCTTTATTTTACCTTTTTTTTCTAATCTTTAACCCCTTTATTAGATCTTCTTCTATTAATATCCATTTTCTTCTACTTCTAAACCTACTTTTTCTCTTATTTCCCTTATTTTATAATATTTATATAAAATTCAAAAGTAGTATATTTATTCTTATATATATATATATATACTATTATAAATAAATATATATTTAAACGAGAAATATATTATATTAATAACTATATAGTAAGGTAAAAGTAATATTTTTTAATTATAATTAAATTATAGAAATTAATATTTAGAGAATATCTTTTAAAATTATATAAAAAGTCTTTATTTAGTATTAACTAAATTAAATTTCTAAATAACTTTATAGAAATAAAGTATTAAATTCTAAAATATTTAATAAAGTTTTTATTATTTTTTCGCCTTTAAAATAGTATTAATACTTAAACTATATATACTTCTTATTATATAAATACTAAATAAGTTTAAATATAAAATTAATAATATTCGAAAATTAAATTCTACTATTATTTATAAATTTATATTAATAGTATTTTAATTTCTATTTTAATTTAAATAAATATTATATAAAGCTCCTTTTATTAAGTCAAAAATATATTTTTAATATATAAAAGTAAAAAAGTAAAACTTAAAATATTATATATATTTCCAATACTTATATTTATTTAAATATATATTATAAAAATACCTATATATAAAAATATTGAAATTTCTATTAATTTTAATAAATCTATTTTATATTAATATTCTTTAAACTATTATAATATAATTAGAAAATAGTTTTTAAAATTATTTAAAATTTAAATATTAAATAAAATATATAAGGTTAATATTAATACTACTTATAAAAATAGGAAATAAGTCAAATTCTATTATATTTTCTGATATTTAAAATATTATTATATAGAGTTACTCGCAAAAGTAGTTTTATTACAGTATAAGGTATCTTATTACTAGTAGCTATTGTTTCGGAGGTACTTTGCAATATTTAAAACCTAAATACAATCGTCTCCGATTGAAGCAAACTCTCTTTGTTCTTCTCTTATTAGATATTACTTTTTTATATTACTTGCGATAAACCTGAGTCTACTCTTTTCTAAGATTATCGTTTCATCTCTTTACTATGGCCTCTAAACGTTGCCTAGTTACTAATATTTTGTACTTATACTATTTCGCCGAGTATTCTACCTAGCTGGTCTATAGTAATTGCGAGGAACCGTTTGTTATCTAAGCAGTTCCTTTTAATATGCTAGAGATAGCTTTCGTTATTAATTCGGATTCTCCTAATCCGAGTCCTGCGCGTGCAATTTTATTTAATTAGCTTTAACTAAAGGTTATTCCCTATAGTAATTGTATTTTAAAACGGGCTCTTATTATTTAAATACCTTTAATTCCGGTAGGAACTAAGAATAGTATATTAAACGAGCTTATAGATATTAGCGTTGCTTACTAATAGTAAACTATTGATCTATTGGAATATAATATTCCGAAGAACGTTTATAATATTATTTTCTAATAGTATTAGTAGTTTATAAAATATTAGATAGTATATAGTAAGAAAATCCTAATTGAAGTAAGAGTTTTAAATTTAATTTTAAGGAACTATAGTAGAAATTTTAATTTATTGGAGGTATTCCCCAATTATTCTGCTTTTATTTATAAGATTGGAGATTAGTATTTTTTTAAGAAGAATTTTACTTATAAAATTAATATTAATAAGGTGGAATTCGTTAGAGTTGACCCTTAGGTAATTGGTAGTAAAATTTAATTTATTAACCTCTATTTAAATTTATTAAAGTTAATTAATTTCGAAGGGCTTTAAAAAGTTATTAAGATCCTAGGCAAGGTTAAAAAGGATTTACCTTTAATTGTTACACTTGTGGAAACCTTTATTATTAATGAGAGCGAAAATTCGGTAGACTAAGTCGCTACTCCTAAAGTATTAATTTCTAAATATATATATAAATAAATAACTTCCCTATAAAATAGTTATATTACCCCCTTTCTAATACTTAAGTATACTTTAGTTTTAAAAATGGAATTAGAGGAAAGAATTAAGTAAGAATTAAGTATTAAATAAGAATTTGGTATTAAATAAGAGCCGGGTACTAAGTAGGTTCTATAAATTAAAAGGGAGTTTGTAAATAGAGTAGGGCTAATTATTAAATATAAATTTAATATAGTATAAATATTGAAGATTAAATATAATTAGCCTACTAGCGTTTTAGTTAATAATAAGTAAATTATAAATAGAATAGTAATAACTAATTAAAAAGGAATATTAGAAAAAATAGATATTCCCCCCTTAGTATAACTTTAAACTATACTTTAGGAGGAAAGTAGTATAGAGGGTAACGAAGGGGGCGATATAATAAATAATATTCGTTTATTAAGTAAGAATATAGAGGAGGAGGGTATATTTATAGATTTAATTAATATTAAAGAAGTACTTACTATTATTAGGAAATATTACTGGGGATTAAAGCTAATTAATTTTAATACGGGCCTATCCGTTCCTATTATTAATACTCCGTCCCCGGCTTTATTAATTCGTAATTAGAAGCGGTAGTTATTATTTATTTTGGGGTTTATTCTATATATATTTGTTTTATTTACTTTGAGAGTTTTAATATTTATTTTACTTTTAATTTTTTTCTTATAATTAATATATATAAAGTATTACTATTATATTAAAAGTGAAAATTTATTTATATAAAGTTGTCTATATATTTAGGTGTTTATTATATATTATATATCTACCTATTTCGTTCTATTAATTCCAATATTTTATAATTACCTCCAATATAAAACCTAATCCCTCTAGTAATTATTATTATACTCTATTCTATTTAGCCCGCTATTAAGATCCTCTATTATACAGTCTACGTTACTTCCGCCTTATCTTATAAATTCTTTCACCTTATTAAAGCTACTTTGCAGTAATACTATAAAATAAAGTAGTAGATTATTTATTATTAATTGATAGTTCATTAATTTATTTCGTAAGTATTTGTATTATATATAGAATAGCGAATTATAGCCGTTACGAACGTACAATATAAAACCTTCTATAATAAACGTATATAGATCTATTATTATTTATAGTAAATATTAATCTAATTCGAAATTCTTATATTATATTATATTTTTTAAGTGCCGGTATTATTCCTAATCCATTTCACATTAATAATTTAGAACTTTAACTTTATTATATTTATAATATAAATTTATTAATTTTCTTAAAATAATGTAACGCCGGCCTACTTACAGCTGGATAGTATATTAATTTTAATAGTTAATAAAATCCTAGAATTCGTATTATATTTAGGGTATAAACATATAGAACAACGCTATATAGTTTTCTATCCTAAATACATTCTAATTGTCCGATACTTTTAATCTCTTAAAATATTCCTAGTAATATTAGATCGGAGCCGATTAAAAATAATTGGAAGAAATTTATAATCTAAATAAATAATTAACTATTACGTAATTGCCTCTACTAATTTTTAATTCGTTAATTAATAATATTTTATCCTCGTATAAAAATATTAGGTATATAGAACGGTACTTCGGGACTATATATTAGTAGAATTTAATCCTTAGAAATTATATTGTATTATATAATAATATTTTAATTAGGGGGGCCCAGCTTAAAAATAACGATTTTATCCGGCACTATACGTCGAAGTTTTAAGATCCTTTGTAATTAATTGCCGAATATAAAGTAATAGAACTTATATACTAGTATATTTACTTTATTACTATAATTGGACTGTATTTATATTGGTATAAAGCTACGCTTCTTAGTTACTTCTACCTATTAATAGAAAACGGATTTTTATATTATTATAGAGATTCTAATATAGAATTATATAATATATTAAGAATAAATATTAATACTAATATAAATTTTAATACTATATTTATATAGTTTTAAATAAGCGTTAATATACTATAAATAATTAAGATCGGGTATAGTCTATCCTCCTTTGCGGCGTTATAGGAGGTCGAATTTATTTTGGACTATTTAAAGGAAAAATTCTTTAAAGTAAATAAAGAATAGCTCCTATAGTAAGTGAAGGTCGAAGAATTTGGTAAAGTAGTATTATAATTCGCATTTACTTATTCTTCGAATAAAATAAGCTTCGTCCGATTTTTGTACTCTCTAAAAAATAGTTCGTACTTTTATA